GGAGGTACTCAGAAGGCATTAGTTTCTAGGCTCCCTCAGAGAAGCCCTGTAAATTCAAGAGTGATGTTGAAGATAACATAGTAGCAATTTTCTGCATAGCAGCCAGTCACAGCATAGCAATCTCTCTGCAAAGCAATCAATGGCCTTAGTGGGTCCAGTTGGCCTGGTTGGTCTGTTTGTTGCTTATCCTCCAGGAGGCTAGCCTGGGCTTCCTAGTGTGGTGGAGACTGGGTTCCAAGAGAGAGAGCAGCAACATTCAGTGCCTCTTGATTCTTAGTTCTGGAACTAGCATGCCATCATTTTATTTTATTGTGGTAAAACTTATATAAGTATTGCCATTTTAAGCATTTTTAAACACACAATTGTATGGAATTAATGACATAAACAATGTCATGCAACCATTTACCTCTATGTATTTCCAAAACTTTTCCTTCATCCTAAACATAAATTCTGTACCCATTAAGCAATAACTTCTCATTATCCCTCCACCCCATTTCTAGCAACCTTGAATTTGTCTCAGAAAAATTTGTTTCTTTTTATTTCTTCTTAATTGGCCCATGATCATTGTATATATTTATGGAGTACAAGATGATATTAGGGACATTTATACTGTGTGCAATGATCATATCAGGGTGTTTAGCATATCCATCACCTCAAACATTTGTCACCTCTTTGTGTTGGAAACATTCAGCATCCTCTCAACTAGCTACTTGAAGTTATACAGTAATTTATTGTTGACTGTAGTCTCTTTATATTGCTGTAGAACACTAGATCTTATTCTTCCTGTCTTTCTACAGTTTTGTATCCATTGACCACCCTCTCCTCATCCCCCGACCCCTTCCCCTTAATAGTCTCTAGTAACCACTATTCTACTTTCTACTTCTGTGAGATCAATTTTTTTTCTTCCACATGTGAGTGAGAACATGTGGTATTTCTCTTTCTGTGCCTGACTTATTTCACTTAACATAATTTTCTCCAAGCTCATCCATGTTGCTGCAAATGGCAGAATTTTATTCTTTTTATGGCTGAGCAATATTCCGTTGTGTATACATACCACATTTTCTTCATCCAGTCATCTGTTGATGGACATTTAGGTTGGTTCCAACTCTTGGCCATTGTAAATAGAGTTGCAGTAAACACAGGAGTGCAGGTATCCCTTCAACATGATGATCTCCATTCCTCTGGGTATATACC